GCAATACTTATCAGTTTTAACATTCCAACAAATTATTTTTATGATTCAATAAAAAATTATTTTCAGATCTGTTTTTAGCAAAATTTTTAGGTCTTTCAACAAAATCGTTCTTTCCGTGTATGATAGGTATTGATGCATTCTGCAATTAAGAGTTTAACTACGTTTTCGATTCCGATCTTAACACTAAATACGGTTGACAACAAGCTTATAAACATTTTCAGCGAATAGTATATAAAGTACTCAATTGGCTATGATTGATGAACAGAATATACTAATGGAGATATTGCAAGAAAATAAATTATTCAACTTAGCAGCATATATAAAAGATTAAAATAAATTAAATGACGGCATTACTTCAATATATATTTGATAAAAGATTAAATCATAATTTTCAGTGAGTTACAGGTAAATTAGCAATTAAACCAAACTGGTTATTAGAAATGGCTTTAAAATTGTTTGAATATTTTTGGTCATTGCACATGCCGTAGATATTTTAAACTGCACTTTTCCTATAGTTAGTTAGTTGCATAAATTATGTAGAATGATAACAATACTATGTAGACAATTTCAGTTAAGGCTCTTATACGTAGATATTAAAATTTTATAATTAATTTATATGTCACTATTGAAACTGGATGATGGATATACCTGTTTTAACATGAAACGAATATGTTTATGTACAATAAAAATGTGAATATTATTTTTGCCATTCGTTTTTTATTGTAAATTTTTTACATGGCATTACTGTTCATTTTAAAAAATTTCATTTAGTAAGACAGATTTTAATTATTTTCACATTTATAGTAAATGCTTAATGTAAATATCATAAATATATACAATTGTATATATTTATAATTATAAAGCATTTATTTTACTATCCATTTTGATAGACATTATTTAAATGCATTTTACAAAGTGTCCAATACCATTTAAACTGCTATAATTTGATAATTTACATATTTTCGCGCGCTTGTATCACTATAACTAAAACAGTCGCAATTGACAGGACGAACTAAAAATAAAAACAAGATATAAATTCTTCTTTTAAATATTAATTATAAATTTAAGTTACGTGTATTGGTATTACATAAGTATATTTACCTTGTAAAGAAATTGGAAACCA